AGCAAGCAACAAAAATGCTCGCCTCTGTGGAAGAAATGAATAAATGAAAGTAATTTCCTTGACACCTAGATTTCTCTGCTTTTTATGGCTAAAGACTTGAGTTGCCTCGGCATTAATAAGTTTGTTCTTTAGGGCTGAATTTTCTCAATACAAACATCCATGACCATAACACAAAGAAATATCTTCTCTGGCTGATAGAGCCAGCAGACTGAATCCATATATTAGTATTATTGTTATCACTGAAGTGCCACAATGCACTCAGCGTCAAGTTGCACAAAAAAAGATCAGTTAAATTAAAGATCCTCACCAAGAGGTGACAATTTATTGTAAAAGCCAATTTAGCCATTATGGAAACTCCAGGATCATATTAACTTTTCTCAAAAGTAAGCATAATGCATCGTAGCAAGTGCTTTCGACAAGTGCATGTGTGCCTATGTGTGGACGTGTCCTGCATGTAAAGAAACCCCAGAAGTTATTTAAGTTGCAACGTCAAATGATGGAAAGTTAGAAAATGCCAGATTTACAGGTGTTCCCTTGCAACACAGCCTGCGCACCAGAAAGAACAGGGGAATTGATGTTATCCTGTGAGACGATGCTTATGTTTGAAAGCATCTGGTTAGCTGACACTTCCCAACTTTCCAGGATGCTGCACTGTAAAACAAACAGCTTTTGTAAGCTTGTGGGCCTTTTCCCACCACCTTTGAATGAAGTTCCTAAAGGTTTTGAGTTTTTCTGCTTTCTTCATTTTTGATAAAGTCAAAATGTACTGTCATATGGGGCTGTATCACCTCTGTCTCTATGCGTGACTGGGAAGGATGGAGTCTAATCCTTTGTTAGTGGAGCACAAATAAGATATTTTCTGCTACAGTTGGCAGCAGTGAAGGTGGGTATTCCCCCAAAAGCTCATAGAGCCTATTGCACCAGTGCAGCCTGTCCCAGTTAAATCTTTTCTTTTTCCCTGCTCTCAGTACCCCTAACAAATTAAGCCACTTGAAGACAAACGACTACGCAGAGCTGTAGGTGGCTGAGTCTGGGCACTTCTGTTTGGAAGTATGGGATCTCTATCAAAATCTCAGCTGTTTTGCTCCAGATCTGTATTTGATTATTCAGTCAAACATTGGCCCATTGACATTATGGTAAGGGAAGCATGGACACAGCACAGCAGGTTTCACAGAATTCCCACAGGTAGAATTCAAGGCTCTTCTGCATCTATGCATCTTGCATATTGGTAGAGATAACTGATACAAATAGATGTGTTTATGCTTTCCTGTGCATATACATAAGGGTCATTGGCCACCACTGGATATATCTCCACTAAGTACTCAGGTTTATGTGATCACAACACACTCATTTTGAATATGGAAGAACATAAATGGAAATTAAGTCAATAATATTTCACCATTAAGTAATGCTTTTCCCAGATAATCACAGAGCAAGCTCTAGCTTACCCAAGTGCCTCCAGGTATAAAATAACCCGTTCCTTACAACAGAAGCTTCTCTTTCTTCCATTGCACAGAAGAAACAGAGTATGTTAGTGTGGGCTAGAAAGTCCTGCTAATACTTTACTGCTGGAAAAAGAAGTCAGGACATTAAACATCCTGAACCCTCTCGAACATATTTTCCATGGTGGTATGGCCTTGAAAAACTTCAGATATTGATATTATTTATGTATCTCTGAAATATATTGTTGTATCTCTGATATTGAGAAGAAAAAGCTGAGACATTTGTTACACCACATTAAGATCAAACTATAATTCTGTAATTATAGTGTGAACTGTAATCACAAGCAAGGTAGTTACTGGTAGCTCTGATTTGGCACACAGATATAACATGCACAAAATTTACTGTTGTCTCCTGCACTTAGCGATTCCTGTGTAAAGAAAAGGCTTCTGAGTGAAAAGGAGTACCTGCATGTCAGCAGGAGGTAGGAAAGCAGAACTCAATGCAACTGCTTAGGAAAAGCATCTTGAAAGCCACACTATCCACCCAGCTTTGCAGGCATTACTGCAGAGGAAGGACATGGAGGTGACTTCAATTTAGGAGTCTTCATAGTTACGCTGTCTGACACCTCTTTAATGTAACATATTCTTTTGATATCCTGCATGGGGATGAAAATACCTCCTGAAAAGCAATTACATTGCTGATTGTTTACTGAAGCTATGCTACTAGATGGAACAAAAGGCTTACTCCACCAGAATAAGATACTAGACAACAATAAGGGGGGAGTTCAAAGATAAAAGATATTATTTCTGATCAAATGTCTTTTAAGAGAAGACTAAGCCTGGCATAAGAAAATCGTGTTAACATCCATAAATTGTGTCTATGCCATGCAGACTTGAGTAAAAATTCTCTTTGTTCATCTCTTTAATTCCTACTGCTGTGTGCAGACACGTAGATCTGAACATTTTAAATGGAAGCCAGAATGGGGAGAAACTACGGTTTAATACTTTTGGGAATACTTGGAGCACTGTGTGCAGTTCTGGTGTCCTCAGCATAAGAAGGACATGGAGCTGCTGGAGCAAGTCCAGAGGAGGCCACAAGGATGATCAGGGGCTGGAGCACCTCCCGTATGAAGACAGGCTGAGAAAGTTGGGGCTGTTCAGCCTGGAGAAGAGAAGCTGCGTGGAGACCTCAGAGCAGCTTCCAGTGTCTGAAGGAGGCCTATAAGGATGCTGGGGAGGGACTCTTCATCAGAGGCTGTAGCGACACGACAAGAGGTGATGGGTTCAAACTGCAACACGGGAAGTTCAGGTTAGATATAAGGAAGAAGTTCTTCACAGTGAGGGTGCTGAGGCACTCGAACAGGCCGTCCAGAGAAGTGGTAAATGCTCCATCCTTGGTAGAGTTCAAGGCCAGGCTGGACAGAGCCTTTGGTGACATGGTCTAGGGTGAGGCATCCCTGCCCACGGCAGGAGGTTGGAACTAGATGATCTTAAGGTCCTTTCCAACCCAAAATGTTCTATGATTCTATGAATGCAAATCCACACAAGCGTTTTTATTAATGGACTGGCCATGGACTTGGACATTAATTCTACCTTGCTTCTCAATTTGAAAATGGAAAGCCCTCCCATTTTAAAAATGAAAAGTTCTGGGAATGACACGAATATAAATCACAAGCAGATGGAGAAGGGCTCAGTGATGAGGGCTATTATCAAGAGACAGAGATGAGGCCTTTGGGCGAGTCAGCATACGGAGTTGGACAAAACAAGTGGATAAAACTTCATATATTAAGAGCTCCCACCTTCTCCAAACTTTCACTCATTTTTCATGGCAAATTCAGTCTGAAAGGTAAGTATCTAGAGAAAAGTGTTTCAATTTCAGCACCTAGACCTAACTAGAACCACCTCAAAAATGCCAAAACACCCCAGGGCAGGCAGTTCTCCTGGTAATTTAGACAGGTAACCATGCAGCATGGCTGCATGAGATTCCCAAAACAAGCATGTCAAAAAGCTTATCCGAGTGACTCATCAAAGCTTCCAAGTAAAACTGTGGAAGAGCATAACCTGAAGTGAAACATCACTGCATTGCAAATGCTGTCATGCTTCTGACAGCCGCCGAGCTCAATGCAAGCTGTGCAACCTTTGCTTTTGTACTTCCTAGTGGAGCACTCTCATTTATCACCCACCTGGACCGCAGCAGCTAGTAACAGGCCAGGTCAAACCTCACTGGCTTATACACACTGATTTTTAAGGGTCTTTGGACCAGATCTGATGCACAAGTCAAATATTTGCATAACTACAGATTTTGTTTTCCCCAGAATAATTCCATGATGGATTTTTATGATACATCAAGAAAGATGTGGAGAGATGAGACCACTGGACAAGCCATGATGGGGTATCAAAGCAGATTCTTTTTCTTTGCCATTTCTTTTAGCTAGGTTTTCTTTTATATAGCAAGTGTCTGAGAAAACAAATGCTGACTCAATACTTCTAAAATGCCATTAATATGTAACACAGTTAATGAAATTTGTAGTTAAGTTGAAGTTTTGTTTTTCTGTATTTTTCTGTATTTTTTTGGCAGCTCTAACTGCTGCCAAATTGCATCCTAATTCAATTGCAATGTACTCGCAGAGCACAGCTGTTTTGCTTGGCTAAACTTTTCTTGCCACTTAATAAGATACTTTTTTATTTAACTTTCAGTTCTTCCCAGGAGCCCCAGTGGGTCTTTTAAAACAGAAGATTATTATTAGAAATTAAGTATTCTTTTCAATTCTGTCTCCTGAGAGCAACTAGGCATTGCTGCTGATCTCCTCTGCATTAAGACATTACTGATTGTCATTCATAGGATGACAGTGTGGATGTCTCATCTGGAAGATACATAACTGCATAAATATGAAAGATTTGAAAGACATTCAATACAAAATATAATAAATCAGTACAAATAATAAACATGTAATTGCAGTGTCAAACATTGCACAGGCATGGGAAGAATATAACACTAGAATAAAAATAAATACAGATTCCAAAGTCAAAAAAAAATAATCTTACTGCAATCATAGGACCCTGATTGATGGCACTTAGTCCATGTTTCAGCACATTGTAAACCCTGAGTAAACAATTCTAAGAACATTGAAAGCAATTAAAGAAAAGGCTGTTGATTTGATGTGTTGGGGTGTTTTAAGTGACCGGTATCTACAAAGTGTTTGTTGGCACGTGAGTACAAGCAGCACAGACTAAGGCTTCCACCTCTCGTGGTGGGCTCAAGCTGGCACTACCTGGCTTTTTCTAAGTGAACCAAACCAACAAGCACCAAAACCCTGATGTAGTTTTTCATCTGAGCCTTTGCATATGCGTATTAATGTATTACAGAACTAGCACATGGCACTTCATGCTTAAGACGGCAGTTGGTCTGTTTAATTTTCACTAAACTCAGGGGTTCATGTATGACTAACTGCTGTCATTCTCTAACCAGGAAGGGATGTGAAAAGAATGCCACCATGGGTCAACAGAATAACAACCAATCACTTACTCTTAATAATAATAATGTGGAATTCAACTTACTTTTTTGGTCTGTAGTCAGGGATGGACCTGTCCAGTGATATCCTGTCACTGAGCTGGGCATTGTAACCATATTCTTCATACTTAGTTTCTGATTCATGGCTATCATCTCTCAGGGTAGCAGCCATTCCTCCCTGGCCCAAGCCTCCTGGACCTTCAACTAATCCCATGGGTTTTGCCAGACCTAAATGAAAAAGACAAACAAACCTCAAATTATTAATATAAAGGAAATGGATATAGCCTCTTCTGTGAGCACAGAATGTTGTTAGATAAATGAGATCTGAACTCTCATGAAACTCAGATCTGAAACCCTTATGGCTCTGTGGAAATTATCCTCACCTTTTCACACCAGAGTTCATATCAACACATTTTGTAGTATCAGTGCATAATTATAATGAACTATAATCAATTAGAAGCTTTCATGTTTTCTCCTTTTTCCTGGGTAAATCCCTGGAAACAGGAATCTTGATTCCAAACATTCCAAAATGCCCAATTATCCATAAGATAATGAAACAAGTCTGTCTTACTAAGAACTTGAGGCCAGGCCCTTTCCCAGTATAGAGCACTACAGCTCCATTCATTTGTTGAATTTCTTCCACATGTATAGGTGCCAGTTTAACTCCATATTAATGTCAGTTCTGGAGCAAGTGCTGGAGCTGAGGCAGGTGCTCTGTGGTTCTAAGACCACCTGCAGCTCTTGAAAGGTTCAGGTTTGGTTCTCATGCTGGGAATACAGCTGTGCAACAGGTCACCAGCTGCTGCTGGGTTGGAAATAGGGGGGAAATCCGATTTTGCTATGTGAGTCAATAGAGGGGTCATTTGGACTCAGCTGCACAATTGCCTGGGCTGTTCCCACAAAGATGTGCAAAAATTATTAGGGAGCTGACACCATCTCTCACCTGGGAATTACTCCAGATTTCCTCTGTCCTTCAGATCTCTGACAAATGAACTATGTGTATTACACAAGATACTCAGCTTGATACAGCTTACAGGATCAGAAAGTTTGGACATAGCTGAGCTGAACTGATTAGCCCCACTTGGTTAATCCTGAGACGTTAGCCAGTCAGTGATGCATTTATAGGTTTCATCACTGGTATATTACTGGTGAACTCAAAACCACACATAAGACAAAACTAAACCAACATTAAAAATGCCCATACGATCACATTGCTAAGAACCTCTTCCATGGCAACAGGCATTTAACTCGGTGCTGAATTCTCATAAATAAGCTCCTCAAATATCCTGTGTTTAATGTCAAAGCTTTCCTTTCCAAAAGGCTCACTATCAACAAGTCATTATAAGCGAAAAAGCGATTTATAATAGTCTTGGGGATACCATACAGACATGTGCAAATATCCTCCAAATCATTTCCAATGCAGAGCAAAACAATTAGAGTTTGTCCTACTCAACATTTTGCTAATTAGGATTTTTTCACGAGGAAGATGTCATTATTTCAACTAAACAATTAAAGAGAAAGACAGGGAACAGTATCAACATTTGCTCATAACAAACACGTAAGACAGTACAAAGGCAGGACTGGCTTCTCCAAGCCACAGTAAGCTCTGGGACAGTTTAGTCCCTCATGAAGGAATGCTTCTTGCACCTCATTGCTAACATTGCACCTCATTGCTAACATTGTCCCCTCACTTGTTACAGATTCGTCATCATCTCTGCCTGGTCAGAACAGAGAGACAGCTGCTCGTTAGTGGTCTGAAGGAGGAAAATTAGCATTTTCTGCTGTAGCACTTATGAGAAAACCCTGTGCTAAGGTTAAGTGCAGCACTACAAATGGTCTGAACATAAAAAGCCTGATCATCTGTAGTACCTGGGAATTCTGGTACTGAATTTCAGACATTGACTAAAAAATATGTACTTTATACTACAATCGGTGACCCCAAGTCAGGACAGACCTTGCTTGTGTTTATGCCTTTGATGTCCTCTTCACGTTCCTCATCATCATGCACTGAAATGCTCAAGTGTCTCGGAGTGAACCATGAGTCTTAGCAGGAGGGGGGAGGGCAGAAGAAATAAAAAGAACACCCTACAGAAAAACATTCTTGGCATGGCCAAGCTTTTGAAAAATTCAGACAGCTCCAAGCATTCAAGCCTAGCAAGTTGTTGGAAAGAAGGGAAAACAAGAGGCTCATGCAGCCACGGCCTCATTATAGGTGTGTGGGGGAGGTGAACTCCAGGTTTCACTAGCAAGGGAGACTGAACAGAGGCATGAGCAGAAACGTCCCCAGGCCACACGCCCATGAAGGGAAAGCAGGAAGACAAAGCTTCAAAACAGCATCTCTTTTCTAGACTATTATATTACTGGGACAAAGAGAGAAAAGACCAAAGCACTGAGCTACTGGGATTGCTGCTGATGCTTAATCAATAATGAATTTCTTCAAAGCTGTAAGTGAAACAAAATACTAGGAAGAAGGAAAGGTATGCTCAAGGCAAGGGAACGCAGTGTCAGTAGACAGCTCTCTTCTTCAGGCAGTCAAGCTGACAACCTAGGATCTTCAGTCTTTGACAACTTATCCCCCAACATTCAGTAACACAGAACAGAGCCCTCCTGCTGCTTAATGACTACTGTTTCTCTCAGGCCAGCTGTGTTGTCTTCCTCTCTCAAACACATTTGCTTTCAGTAAGGTATGGAACTATCCCAGAAGACAAGTAGGAAAATGCTCATGTCCTGTCCTAAGCTCACTAAGTGAAGAACATCAATACACATTACATATTTCTGAAAATATTTTAGAAAGCTTCACTTTGAAGGAGATGGTAACATTCGTCCCTGTTTTCCAATTGAGGCTAAGAGGCTATTTTGGCGCTTTGACTAGCTTTAGTAGTTAATAATACTTGGTTTAGAAAAATGAGAACAGAAGGGCCTAACAGTGTTGCCATCCCTGGCCTGACAATTATCCCTTGCTCAAGTAATTAAAGAAATTACATGTCTGAGACTGTAAATCTCTCCCCACCCAAAAAGAAAACCATGGCAGCCTAATACCCCTGCACGATACAGTCTTAGACTTAACTGACACTAATGGCAAACAATGATGCTGCATGCCTCTGCCTTACTTGCCCGATATATGACATCTTAAAGGGGGACTGAGTTTCACAGGGAAGTCAGCAGTTCCCTCAAAAGAAAAAGCACAAACAGGGAGTCAAATTATGCACTTCAGAAGTTAAAGAATCCAGAAAACTAGATTGTGCCCTTGAAAGACTGCAATGTGGAAATTCATTTGCTGATCGTTTGGAATCATCTGGGCTGGGTTCTGATGTTACATCAAAGCAAACTGAAGACACCTTCATTAAAGTTAACTGACCTGCTTTAATGAAAGGGTCTCCAAGATGTGCTGTGCTCATTTGACTTTAAGCTACAATTTAATTCCAGGAGCTGAAAACTTAATTCTTTATACATATGCTTTTGCAGTTGATGGAACAAAACACATATTTATGACACAAGTCACAGAGAAATGAAACTTTCAACCCACAGGAAGCATCAAGCACTTTGCTATTTTTCTTGTAGAGAATAATTCCCTCTGTAAGTCTTACAGAATTAGTTAGGTAGCCTTCCAAACCATGCATAATGACAATTATTCCATATACATTTTTCTTAATCTGATATTCTAGCTCTTCATGCTGCTAATCTGATCCTGTTTTAGGAAAGAGTCATCGTATGTCTAACTTACTCTCAGAACATATTGCTGTGAGGTTTTTTCCCCATTCATTACCCAAATTTTAGCCTAGTCAGACTGACAGTTATTATAGCAATGCAGTAACACTGACCAATATGTAACACCAATTAAATAAATTGTATCACATTGCTTCATTTCTCAAGAAAAGCTCTGAAGTATCTCTAAGATTCTTTAGGAGCAATAAATATAATACATTTTATATGTGTATGCGTGCTAAATGCAGCAGTTACAGGCAATGTTCTTCAATGTATGCTTCGTTAACTAGACACAATGTAACTATGTCTCATAACTCTGTTATCCTCTATAGGATAATATTTTCATAGCATTTGTCATCTCAAAGGATTATCTGTTGCTTCAGCAAATGTTTCTTCAACAGAGGACTTTGCCCCATGACTACTCAAGTCAAAGTCGTAACTTGCTAACCCCCAAATCTGCAGTAATCTACACTGGTTAGCCTTTTGTGAAACAAACAGAAAAGGGGTGCCAGTTCAGGAGCATCTTCTCACAAAAAGGCTGGTCTTAAGAGATGGTATCAGAAGGCAGGCAATGGATCACTGTGTCTCCTCAGGTCTGGCTGAAGCAGAAGCTGCTGGTGAACAAGACACACCTTGCAGCACATCCTCCAGGCCCTCATCTGAGAGGTGCCCAACAGTCTGGGACCACTAAGCAGAATCATCTCATCAGGAGCTTTCCAGCATGCTGAACCTTGCACAATACCTTGGAGGACATGGAGGAGCAGAATACAGCAGTTCTGCCACAGGATGCATAGGAGGGCTGCCAAAGACAGAGAGTCAGCAAAGAACAAATTACGCGTGCCCTAGGGCTTGGGTGTTTTCTGCTCAGCAAAACCCCAGCCAGCCTTCAGGGACACCTCATTCCCATGGGTCTCACCTACTGGAACAACAGGGAAAGGGATCCATTTCTGGAAATACTGCTGCTTGGCAGAGAGACAATTGCTATTGATTTTATATGCTGGGTGTTTAGGTCTTACAGTGATGGGGAGCAGTATAAAACCTACGAAAGACAAATGGAGAAGTGCTTCTAGTTCAACTTCCAGCATATACCTGGGTTTTAACCAAGGCAGATCAGATGAGAGCATTTTTCTGTTTTCTTCTTCTCACTGAAGGCTTCCAGATCCTCCTTTTATCTCTGATATGGCTCTACCTAGCACCCATTTTTTCATGTGAAGCCGTTGTGGGCTTCACTGTCAGCAGCATCGCTGATAGTGTAACCCTGTGGCTCATGTCAAAATGAAGGATTGAAATCATGCTGCCAGCTCTGAAATGGTGATGGGCAGAGAGGGGAGAGAGGGAACAGTGGCAATGCCCAGTGAGCTGCTATTTTTACAGCTGTCTTTTCTATCAGTTTTTAGACTAAAAAGATCTACAGCCCATATGCTGGGATTGGTCATACCCAGTTCAATGCTGCAGATGACAATGGGGTCACAAATAATTAGAGTCTGTCGCTCATTTCAAATTTATTGCTCTCACTGCAGAGA